GCGGTGGGCCCCACCGCCGGTCCCGGGTGCGGGCAGGCGGCCGGGCATCCTCTCCCGGTCGCCCTTCGGGGCTGCTGGACTCCCCAGGCCCGTCTTGGGGCCGCTGTGGCAAGCGGGGGAGGCCGAGGGAGAAGGAGGGCGACAGGCCTTGTCACACGGGCTGCGGGGAAGCGTGCGGCCGTGCCCTTGTCCTGCTTCCGCGCAGGGGTCTCCTGGGCTGCTCCGGGGTCAGCGTGCGTCTCCCAGCGCCCCTGCGCTCTCACGGGGGTGCGGGGTCCGTGCGGGGTGCTCTAGCCCGGCATCTAAAACTGGGGCTGGGTGTTTGCTGCCCTTTGCTTCGCAGGGTTGACTTCTGCTCCAGCCCTGCAGACTGCGCCTCTTGTTGTGGTGCCGTTATTGCAGCTTCGATAGGCGTAGCGATCCTAAGCGAGGCAGATTGGCGCGTAGCAGGAACGTCTCTGATTAGACTGCGTGGAATTGCTGGTGCAGAAGAACAGACAAGCTTGCGGGTTCGCAATCTGTTAGATCTGGCTGGCTCTTTTTCTCTTTTCAGCTTGTTTTGCCTCTGGAAGGGGACGCATTTGTGGCGTGCGATGGCTGACTGTGCGCAAGAGTTGCTTTTATTTGAATGTCAGCTCTACGGGCTAGCCCGAGCGAGCAGGCTCCATTTGCGGGTTTTCAGGCCTTGTCTTTTTTAGGATGAATACATCATGCTTCTGTCGAAGGTGTTGCGCCAGCCCGGTGCTCGGCAGCTCAGCATACTTGCCACAGGAGCGGCAGCGAGACGCCTTCACAGCGCAACACGTCCTACCGTGCGCGTTGGATTAACGCTGCTCCTCTGAACAAATTCCAAAACGGCGGAAGGCTAGCGATGAGAGCGAGCGATCTGTTTTCCTAGTGGCTGTCAAATCTGCAAGTACTGTGGCGGGAAGAACAGGAGGGTTCTGCTTTGCAGCCTTAAGAAAAAAGGAATTGGTGTGTGTCTGTTAGCGAACGTGTCTGTGGTCAGCTCCTGGAACGAGCAGCTCGCTGGGTACAGTTATGAGATCGTTCACCCCAGCGGGAGAAGTTTGTGGTTTGGGTTTTTCATAAGTAGTAAAAAAATAATTGTACCGGGGGGGGGGAAGTTACGGTTTTATATCATTGATTATTTCAGATAAAGCATTCAGTGAATCTGCTTAATTCATCCTCAAATACTTGGAGTGCCAGTGCGTGGAATAACCGGGAGGAAAAAAATCGCAGAGCGACTGTGGAGAAAGGGAAGCAAAGTTTCAACATCATCTTTTACATGTATTTCTAAGGGTCGGCCTTTCATTCAGGAGTGAAATCACGTCGTTCTTATTGATATAAAGCTTCTGTCAAAGCTGAAGCGTAGCATTGGGTTAAAAGCACACAGCGTTTTGAGGTGCTTGTTGAGCTCTGAGCTGGCACAGGCGATTCCTTATCCCCTTCCTGGGTCTTTTGATTTAGGGTAGTAACTCAGGAACAGTGGTTTTTAGGTATTTGTTAGAATAACGTTAACAGAACTATTTAAATCTTAATAGTAGGCTTACTGAGCTGGAGATTCAAAAGCTAGGAAATAGGAAAGGTTTGGTTCCGAGGATCATCTTTTTCTGTAGAATCGAAGGCAGGGGTTTGGGTGCCCGTGGTGGATCGTGTTCCCTGTTCTCCCGCGAGGTGGGGGAAACGACTCTGCTTCCCTCGGGCCTTGTCTGCCTTATTTGTAAACTCCTTGGGGCAGGGGCTTCATGTGGCTTTTTACCTGATGCAGGATCAAGTCCACGAAGCGCTCGTTTTACACGGCTCCTAATAACAGTCTCCGTGAATCTGTGTGTTTTGTAGCTCTCCATTTGGCGGTTTCTTGAAAATATTTTATCAAAACTGTTTTGACAGAAAATTGTATTGGGATGCGAGTCTAACTTTTGGTTTGTTGAAATGAGCGTGGACTAAAATTTGAGTTTATAGCTCTACGGGACGAGAAAGAGTATCTCTGGTGCTGTGAATATTATTCTCGTCTCTCTCTTTCGTGCTTAATATGGCTTCCTTACTATTAATATAAATTTTGTTCTATTTGTACGCTATTTTTTAATTTATTTTTTTTTCTGAGCGAGATTTCTAGTGTCCCGTGTATAAAAGGCTGTAAGTCTACTGTACCTGAGCACGTACAGAGAAAAGAGAGCTCGGCTAACTTCTGGGAAGCAGAAAGAAATTCTTCAGATGCAAAATGCATGCGTACGTAGTTGTTAGGAACGCAGTGAAACTCAATAGATTGCAGGGGGGTGTTGCTCAGAGCGTCTTCAGAGTTCACAGAAATATTGTTTGTTCTGGGTCAAATGTTATTTTAAAAAACCCTCAGTTCTTTTGGGAACTTTGGAGCAGCTTAAAACGTTACTTGGAAACGCGACATAACCTAAAGGGTAGTGGAAGTGGCGAAGTTCTTGTGAGGCTACGTGTGGGCATTCAAAATTTAGAGGCTGTAAGTCTATTTTGAGTGATGGATTTTTTTAAACAAGAAAACACTTTGAGGAAGTTTTATGGTTTCTTAGGCTTACAGATTGAGAACATGATTACGCAGTTTCTTATGCTTTGGTCAGTTAAGCATTTGGGATTTTATCCGAGTCTCGTTTAAAAGTCTTATCTCAAAAGCCTGTTCGAGGAGGTGTTTGTTTAGGATTGCAGTTAACTTTTACTTAATCTTACCTTTCTCTTATTGCCTGATTAGGAGGGAGGGATAATTTCTTAATTCTACATGCATTCATGAGAACATTTCTTTTGATCTTCCTCTGTTTGCTCTGTCCCTATTACAGGTTCTAATAGTCTCTAGTGTTTCAGGTAAAAGTACAGTCGAGATTTAAACTCAAATTAACTTCAGAGAAATCTCCGTGTGTGACTGGCAGCATGGTTTTAGATATGACCGCTTGGGGTGACGCTTTTTGAAACCTGCGCTCCTGGCCAGACTTTTCACAATGCTCCTTTGAAAGTCTGGGCTCTTAAGCTCAAGCACCTTAAGTGCTTAAATCTGAAGCGAAGCACTCTCGAAAGCCTGGACGTGACTTTTGGCCGCTGAAATCTTTGAGTTTTGTTAGCTTCCGTGCAAATAGCTAATGTGCAATGTTGTTAACAGCTTTTTGCAGAGAGAAGAAAGATGGAAAGTAATGCGGTTTTACTGGAATCCAAGTCCTCTCCTATCAACCTCCTGAATGAAATGCATCAGCTGCGTCTCCTGGGCCACCTCTGCGACGTGACCGTCAGCGTGGAGTATCAAGGTGTCAGGGCAGAGTTTGTTGCTCACAAGGCGGTATTGGCAGCAACGAGCAAATTTTTCAAGGAGGTGTTCCTTAATGAGAAGGGCATGGACGGCCCAAGGACCAACGTGTTCTTGAATGAGGTCCAGGTTGCTGATTTTGCTTCGTTTCTTGAGTTTGTCTATACTGCCAAGGTAGAAGTGGAAGAAGACAGAGTGCAGCGTATGCTAGAAATAGCCGAAAAGCTGAAGTGCTTGGACCTCTCGGAAACCTGCTTTCAATTAAAGAAGCAGATGCTTGAATCGGTGCTGCTGGAGTTGCAAAACTTCTCAGAATCGCAGAACTCTGAGGAAGAGAGCGCTACCCAGCCGAGCGTTTTGCTCGAGTCCAAAGCAGCTGCTGTGGCAGAAGCTGACCAGGCAGACTGTCCGCTGGACCCTCCGGATTCCCCAGCAGACAGGCCCAGCAACGGAATGTCTCCTGAGATGCCGGCTACCAAATCAAAAGAGAAAATGGACAAAAAGAAGGAAACGATGAAGCCTCCTTATGCCAAAATCAGAAGGGCAAGCGGGAGGCTGGCTGGGAGGAAGGTATTTGTGGAAATCCCGAAGAAGAAATACACAAGGCGGCTGAGAGAGCAGCAGAAGAACGCAGAGGTTGCTGTTGAAGAAAACAAACATCCTCAAGATCAGGATACGTGTGACATGGAGAGAGGGGAGGAGCAAGCGGAGAACGACATCAAACCTGAAAGCGAAGAATGCGATGGCAACTTTGAATTGGAAGAAAACCTGAAAAAATCTGAGGAGGATAAAAAGAAACGAGGCAGTAACTTCAAGTGCAGCACATGTGAGAAGGAATTCCTGTATGAGAAAAGCTTCCTCAAGCACATAAAGCACAGCCACGGCATTGCAGCCGAAATCATTTATCGGTGTGAAACCTGCAGTCAGACCTTTGCCAACCGGTGCAACCTAAAAAGCCATCAGCGCCATGTCCACAGCAGTGAGCGCCACTTCCCTTGTGAGCTCTGCGGTAAGAAGTTCAAGAGGAAGAAGGACGTCAAGAGGCACATTCTCCAGGTTCATGAGGGTGGTGGGGAGCGTCATCAGTGCCAACAGTGTGGAAAGGGGTTGAGCTCCAAAACTGCCTTGAGGCTCCATGAAAGGACGCATACAGGCGACAAGCCTTATGGGTGCACAGAGTGTGAGGCTAAATTTTCTCAGCCTTCTGCACTTAAAACACACATGAGGTATGAACAGACTTAACTGGCCTTGTTAGATTCTGGGGGGAGAAGCAGAATCCCCCAGAACACACCTTGAGCCTTCAAGTGAAGTGGGGATGTAAAACGTGACTGGCTGGAAAGTTTCCGTATTTCCTTTTTTCCTTAGCTCCCCCCACCCCCCCCCCCC